TATCTTGCATTTGAAAGCCCTATTTGAATATTGCGGGCAGCTGTATGTGGCCAGCTGTGTTTGATGGTACGGTACGGTACGGGAGACGGTGTCGTATTACCCTCGATCGTACCTGTCCCGTACCTATCCCCTACCGTACCGTGCCATCAAAGACGGCTGGCCACAATGCATATTCAAATAGGGCTTTCAAATGCAAGATCACAATGTGAAACAACTTGGAAGAATTAGTATGTATGCGAAGTGTGTCGGGGGATGCATGCAGGGCGCGCGATAGTGCGGGTTCGAATCCCAGGTTATGTCTTAAAAAAAGAGAAATTTTTTAAAGAATTTATAACATCCCTATGCTTTTTTTTGTCTAGGTCATCAAGGCAAAAAAGCATAGCGTAGGGCCCTGAGCTTCCAAGCTCTCTCGTTCTGAAAAAAACATATGCGCGCACGCGCGCAGACGACGCAACACATAGATATAAACAACGATGGCCTATCCTGGGTTCCACTATCGCCCTGCGCTGCATGCATTCCCTCGATACACTTCGCATACATACATATTCTACCAAGTTGTGTCACTTTGTAATCCTGCAGTCGAAAGTCCTTTTTCAACATGTGGCCAGCAGTCTTTGCGGGCATGGTACGTAACATGTACGGGATAGGGCCAGCCGTGGTGCGTCACGTGATGACGGCCCTACGCCTGAGGACCGCACACGGAACAGGTTCGGGCATGTTGAAGATCACGTCTTTTCTCCTGCCGACTGGATGCCTGCTCAGCGGTCTCTTGCTGTTGACGCATCTTGTCACAAAGTCGGCGAGTCTCCAGACGGGATATTTGCTCCGTCGTTTCTTGCTGTCAGCGTAGCCTTTCACAAGCACGGCGACTCTCGAGGCGGCGGGACCTCTCTTCTCACATCTTGACTCTCTGTGTAGGCACTCCTGCTGACGTCGTCTGCTCAGAGTTTCAACCCTGTCACCCTGTAGCCGGGGCATGATATTATCAAACTGATTGGGAGAGCATATGTCGGCTACAAGGATTCTGACTAATCTGAACACTGTCATACATACTGTTGATTGTTGTAACTGCTACTCGTGGACAAGCCAAACTCCGTGGCGACCACCATGAGGTCTAAGAGCAAAAGAATAACGAAAGGCAGCTGTGTACCACAGCTAAACCAAAGCGTGCGCGCAGGCAGTAATGTGTATGCGCAGCAATACACCAACATAGAATACGCCAAAAGGGGCGAAGAAGCTACAATTACATTTCTGCACTTGAAGTGTGCAAAGCAGCATGCACGGAAGTCAATGCTGAAGGTAACGTAAACTAGCTTCCGTGGAAATAGATTGCGCATGCAAGAGACACCATAAACAAGCTCATAGTACAAACAGAATAGCTATGGAAAGCTCGCATATGGGGTTTATCTATATTAAGACTTAGGACACAATAAATGAGACCAAGATCAAGAGTACATACCCCCCCCCCCCCCCCCGAGTGTGCAACTCGACTATGGGTGCTGTCCCGACAGAATTTCAAGTTGACGTCATTTTGATGATGCAATGCGCACTGTACACGGATTATCAGACGAATCCGGAACCTGTGGTTGACCGAAGCCGATCTGATCCTGTACAAATTATTGCAAAGAAAACGTGTGATGCGTTGACACCCGTACACATGTTGTAAATCACTGGTGCAAGGAGCATTGCGTCATAAATAATGACGACAACTTGAAATTCTGTCGGGACAGCAGGGTATGTGGGAGTTGCACACTCTGGGGATTTATGTACTCTTGGTGAGACATGTACGTATGTACAAGCATACGTACAAGCGTGCATAGATCCGATATGGAACCTACACATAACGACAAGAGTACATAAACCAGAGTGTGCAACTCGGGATGGTTCCTGTGGGAGCGTAATTCGTGCACTACGTCATTTCTGACGGCATGGTAAGCCACAGGTACGGTGAAAAGTTGCGTAACCAGTCGCGGTGGTGCAGGTCACTGAGTTTGTCCTGATTTCGGTTTTTTGATACAGATAGCCTGGTGACTTTACTTGTCGGTGGATGTACGCAGCGTACACAGTCACACAAAACACCGAAATCCTGAAACAGGACGTCTAAAATCAAGCAAACTTGGCTGATTTCCGGGCTATGAAACATGAAAATTTGAGCTGTACGCAAGTCGCGGCTTGGCTGACCTCATCAGGGTGACGTAGTGCACGAACTGCGCTGTTTCAGATCTGATATGCACAGTTGCACACTCTGGTTTATGTACTCTTGATAACGATGACAGATCCATACTTTGAAGTACAGTTGTGGCAAGTGAAATTCGACACTTGGCATAAGGGACTGCACCATGCAGTCTGCTAGTCTGCAGCCCCTGCAGCCCTGCATACGTACAGTACATGTGTTACATACAACTTTATCTGTCTGATGACAAAACACGTACTCATCACAGTCAAGGTTCAAAAGGTGCTGGCAAAAATGAATGAGGATTGGATACCAATACTCCTTATGTGTACCATATTTGTGAACTGTGTGTATCTACGCTGTGACCATGGTGACCTTTCGATCTGTTTATAGTACAAATTAGGTGCAGTGCATTACATCATTGGTGTCCCCTATATATGGCAAGTGTCGGATTTCACTTGCCACAGCTGGGAGTTAGATAGACATAAGGGAGGTTCTGCTCTACGTTTTGGAAACGCGACGCAAAGAATCACGCGAACTTTCTTCGCGTTCCCGTGACGTAAAGAAATGCTGTTCTGCTCTACGTTTCACCTAGAGAAGTCACGTGGAATGTGTACTGGGAATTTCCCCTTCCATATTTGGCAGTTTTCTGCATGCAGTTGATCGATACCCAGCAAATCCGTATGCATTTTCTCTGCGTGTGCCACAACGTAGAGAACCTCATCTCCGCGTAGAAATCTGGAGCCAAAACACGCGAAGCCGTAGACTCTAACCCAGACACCTGCTCTCTACGTGATTTCTCTACGTTTCACGTATAGCAGAACCTCCCTATAAACGACTCCATACACAGTCGTGGCAAGTGAAATCTGACACTCAGCATAAGGGACTGCACCATGCAATGTGCAGCCACTGCAGCCCTGCATACGTAGTACATGTGTTACATACAACTTTAACTGTCTGATGACAGAATTCGTACTCATCACAGTCAAGGTTCAAAAGGTGCTGGCAAAAATGAATGGGGATTGGATACCAATACTCCTCATGTGTACCATGTCTGTGAACTGTGTGTATCTAGCTACGCTGTGACCTTTCGATCTTTTTGGGATGCATACGGCTCTATTGTACACATGTGGTACAATGCATTACATCATTGGCATCTATTTGTGGTGCTGTCCCCTATGGCAAGTGTCGGATTTCACTTACCATGACTGTACAACAATAGTACTGTACAAGAAAGATTCCGGGGGACACTCCGGGGCCAGGATGCCAAAGAAGATTATTCTGGATGAGTTGGCCAAGGGCTCATGTGTGTACCAGTCTCCGTGCCTGCAGGGTACAACTTACAGCCTGTTTGGGTGCTTTCCTGTCACTCGAGTTGAACCTTGGTGCGAAAGTTCAAAGTAAGTTGTAGTCGGCACCCTGCAGGCACAGTGACCAGGTGACTGGTATACGCATGAGCACGTGACCGCCTATTCAACCATGTTCGATTGGGAGTAAAGGCCGAACGCTGAATAGCAGCCTTCTCGGACCAAACCCAGTCGACTCAGCGTCCAAAAGACTAGAACATATGGGCCAATCGCGGTCATCCTTGCTTTTATAAGAATGAAATGGTGCTTTTAGTGACATTTTGCATACAAATCCCCATCTAGTAGGGCGCAGTCACCCAGCGTTGTTGTAATTTACACTTAGTTACTGCATGCTTGTGGCACACGACAGTCACAAGCAACACGAGGAGTAATTCTTGTTGGTAGTTATCATTACGAAGGTAGACAAGAGAATGATCCGAGCATGCCCAGAGCAGCCAGGTAAGGGCCAGCAGCCATGATGAGAAAAAACGTAGACATGCCCGAATGGAGAAGATTGTATGAAGCGAAAGGAGGTAAGATCGTACGAAGAGGCAGCGAGAGAGCAGCATGCAGCGACGGCAATATGAAGTGAATGCAGTCTATAACAAGCGTCAGTGGAATTGGCGAGTTCGATTGGGAATAAAGGAGGAAGGGGGCGTCTCAGCTTCCTCGGACTAAGACCATTCGACTCTGCACCCCAAAGACTACAAGTGGTGAAAATTTGATTTTAGCCTTTACTTCCCCTTTAATTAAGATAGCTCGTTGCTCTAGTGCCAGAGTGCTTCGACTACGAAAATTAGCAAGCAATGCATATCGCAGCAGCTCTAAAGCAGACTTCCGAGAGTGCTCATCATCATCAATACAGCTAACGACCTTTAAAAGTAAGCCGTCACATCAACTAACGACAAATAGTGACTTTTGGATGACTTTTGGATGTACCCCGCCCGTGGCAAAGTACAATATGTTAGTGGATAGGACCCCTCCTCGTGTTGCACGCAGGTGTGATTTTTTACCAGGAGTGGGTCCCTGACCGAGAGGACCGGGTCCAGTTACTACCGGCGGATGTGTCACTATGCTGTGAAGGAAAACCACCCAGATGTGTATGGATCCATACAAAAACTGGATCCAAGTGAATATCCAAAGGTCAGCATTACCGTGGCTCCGGGCAAGCTGTGGCGTAGCACTTTCAAGCCCTACGAAAACCACATTCACTATATTGTCATCAGTGCTCCATGCTGATGATTACTCTCTGAGTTGTCTTAGCCCGCCGCTGTAACTGAAATCATGGTGATTCCGGTGTGACTCTTCGTGCAGGAACACTCTATCGTGGTACATTTTAGGTAACCGAGGAACACAGGGATTCTTCTGCAGCTGGTGGCTATTCCCTACATGCACTCAGCTCACGTGACATTGTGTTTGAAAGTACATGTATCTTGCCCCAGACACTTCACTGCTCCGTCACGATGTGTTATCTTGTCCAGGTACTGGTACGGCTCTGATGACAACGGCAAACTTACCCTCTCACCAGAGCAAAACATAACAACTCCACAGGCAACAACAAACACGGGACAACAAACAACTTGTAAGATAACATTTTTTTATTTTTTTATTTTTTTACTAGCAAACACAGCCCTACTAATAATCAGGGGAAGAGGACAACTAAAATGACACTGGACAACAAGACAAAGGGGAGTAGATGTATCTATTGAATCTAACATGTATCTATTGGGATAAGTGTATGTAGGCCTTTCTAGAACAGTGGAGCAAGCAGTAAAGGAATTCAATATCCAGCGGAGATTTCTTTCTGTTTGTGATGCAATGATGTATGGTCGCCGTCAGAGCGCACTTACATCGTATGCGTGTCTGGGGGGGGGGGGGGAAGGGGGGGGGGAGGGGGTTCGCAGAACTGAGGTGCTTTCTAGTCCACGCGAATGCATACATACAAACACGGCGGTGGTCACAAGAGTCTTACGCATACAAACCTTAGCGGAACTACTGGGCGTCCGAGGCGGGCTGTGCTTCTGTTGAAAGCCAAACTGTGTATTCACACCTGATGAAACAAGGATGTACGGGCTTCACCTTTTTTTTGTGAACTTGGACAAAAGTCACTAAACCTATGATCGCAATCACTAATTTTTGAGACCTTGCTAAACACACACACACGCACACACACACACACACACACACACACACACACACACACACACACACGCACGCACCCGCACACGCACACACACACACATACACCCCCCCCCCCACACACACACACAGTGACACACACACACACACACACACACACACACACACACACACACACACACACACAACTTGACGCAAGGTCCAGTGGAATTTTTCTCTACTCCGACTTTCATGCTCTACGGACTCACCGGAAGATTGATTCAAAAAGAATACACCATATTTCCCCGATTATTTATACAAGTCGCACTCGATTCTAAGTCCCATCTCTTTTTTCAGGTCCTCCATGTCATATCATTTCAATACAGTCACTTCAGTAGTAGATCATGCTCGATTGTAAGTCGCACCCCTTTTGTTGGCCATGACGTTTAGTGTAAAAAGGTGTAAGACTTATATTCGGGGAAATACGGTACTAAGTTAGACAATAGACTTTATCCTATAGCAAAAGTGATACCCCTGACAGGCTGACAGGCTGACATCAAGGATCATCCTGTGACGTTGCTAAATATACGATTGGCATGAAAGCAATTATTTATTCGGACATCAAGGATCATCCTGTGACGTTGCTATTTGTCCCGTGCTGCTATCCACAGTCAACTAGGAACTTGTGGCCAAGCACACTGAGTAGATCATGTGGATGCGGCTGGTGGGGTTTTCAGCGCTTACACCAGTGGTTGTGAGACTTAAAAGGCTTGATTTACGTTAATTTTGCTGTCAGCCAGACAAAAAAAGTAATCCAAAGTAATCCATTCAGTACCTGTAGCATTCTCGGCTTAGATGTGCAGCGTGACTTGCACATCAGTTGGCTTGGCCATTAAGACTTGCATGCCAGCTGCCATGGCCATCAAGACAGATGCGCAAATCCACTGCAGTATGAGAGCTTCCCTTAAATCAATCTAAATGGCACCAGATCCTATGCACTATAAAGTAGAATGGATGGTGGTACTTGTAGACACCGCCTCATTGTGATAGAAAGTGGCTCCGTGCTGAAGTCTTCAATACAATAATTATAACTGCACCAGTCAGTGTAAGGCTGGCCTAGTGATTAGTTCCGGTGCCTTGCAGCAATGGTTCAAATTCGGCCACCTCCGGAAAAAGAAGGGAACAAGTTACGCTCGCTAGTATCTCTCGTATCCGGGAGTTTCGGAACCGGGCACTGTCCATGACTCTGAATCAGGCACATGTTGATGGGGAAGTCACAGAGATCTGGCATATGACGTCATTGTATAGCTTCGGATGGAGAGCCAATGATTATTTATAGTAGGGAAAAAGGACCAAGGACTATTTTAGTGCTGTCGGTCAGTTTTGTGCAATGTCATCGCATGAGCTGATTTTCATATAACTGGTGGTGTTAGTGGACATTATAGCGTAACTTGTAGTTCTTTGGTCCGTTTCTCTACCATTAACTATTTATAATGGTAAATTGGTAATATTTCAATGAAAACTCCCCCACAGGGCACTAGCTAGACCGAGATGCACGTAACTTGCAGGTCCGGATAAGAGAAAATTGATATGAATGAACTTCGCTCTCCTGCCTTCGGGATCCTGTCAGTAGGCCAATGGTCTGTGGAAAACAACAAAGTAAAAGAAGAGTGCTTTTTTGTCATTACTGACCATAATAATCTGCCACCTTTAATCACCATCTTTAACCACCACCTGTTACCAGCACCGTTAACCACCATCTTGTTGATAGCAATCAGCTATCTTTTTAACCGCCATCTTGTTGTGTAATTCTCTTCTATTGCTCTGCTGCAGGTCGTATAATTGCTTTTGCTGACATGGGTGTCTGGGGCGGCAAGAATGTCTCGAGTTTGCCCACCAACAGCAAGTCCAAGTCTGTTGTGGACTTAATCCAGAACAGGTGGCTGAACGACAGTGGCACCATCGATATGATTGCCCATGTGGGTGGCCTATCCCGTAAGATCAGTCTGCATTGCTTTCATGCGTAGAAAGTTACGTACACGTGTAAATCGATAATTTTCTGACAGTGAAGAAAAAACCTTTGTTTAGGGTGATTTGCCCGAAAAAGCGGGTCGGTCGGCTTTCTCCTTTTGCTGACATCTTTATGCACACCAGATCCCCTGCCGGGATCAGAAATTGCATTTTTTCAGCGAGATAGAGCACCTGCCTGATGCCGAGAATGCTCACGCTTAGACTCGGCCACAGTGTTGCAAAGTCAACGCGGCATTGGTGTAACACTAGCAGCTATACCAGTGTGCAAGTGCAAGCGTTTTTGTTACTTAGCTAACAGCCTGTATAACAGCATTGTACTGCATGTAATGCAGTCGTAAAAAAGAAAAGAAAAAAGGAGGACAAAATGTTACGAGTTATGACTAACTGTCCACCAACGTAACCAGATCTTATACAGTCAGCGAGTGCGACAAAATGGCACAAAATTGACAAGGAGTACTGAGACATTCGGCGACCTGAAGCCTAGCTCCAACACTTCTCCAATTGAATTTAATTGGCTCATCATCCGAGTTGAAAAAGAAGAGTAGTTTTATTTTACTATAATAAGAGAAGCATGCATGGCGCATGTCGAGAACTACCTTTCCGCGTACGTGGGACACCACCACCCCGCGACCATGTGTCAAATGCTGCTCCTAAATGCTGTACAGGATATATCAGATCCGAAGTGAGTTCTGTCAAACTTGTACCCACCAGAACCAGGCATGGTGTTATGCACGGATAGGTCTTGGTAGTTATCAAAATTTAACCTTTTCTCTCTGTAAGCACTCGAAAGTGCGAATGTGTACCCTTTTATAGAGAGGTGTTGTTGACAGCGAGAGATTCTACTGCTCCCTGCTTGCCGTGTGCAGATGCTACTGGCAAGGGGTATGTCTGGGAGAGGTTCTTCTATCGTATCGAGCCCGTAGCAACACGAGTGCCATACCACGTGGGTGTGGGAAACTACGGTAAGCCATATATAATAGTTCTATAATACACAGATCATGATATCCACACAGAGTTACATCAAGACCCCGGGAGGGGGGGGGGGGGACTGGGGTCCGGTATATTATAAGGGCAGATAGTAGACAAAGTTCAATCTGCACATCCTGGACTACTAGGGGATTTCCCCGCACCATGCTGTAATTGATAAGTCAGTGTACATCATGAAAAGTTGTTACTGGTGCGTACATGTACACGTATTGCTATTGCATTGAAGTCCGTCTTCGACATGAGGCACGGATGCTTTTCTGTCATCTCCCAACTTCTAGAGACGTTTGAGATTGTACTTTAGCTGTGACAGTGACTTTCCAGAAGACATATTCACCTTGTTTTTCTTCTTCTTTCTATGTGATTTCTTTTGCCAAACCGCTCATCTCCTCGTGCACCCCACCTGCAATGTCACCATAGAGTATGGATATGTAGGGTAAGTGGTCGGTCTAGAAGGCAACTTATCCTCCACGGCAATGGTACAGTTAAATGGTGCGGTTAAATGGTGCAGTTAAATGGTGCGGTTAAATGGTGCGGTTAAATGGTGCGGTTAAAGGGTGCGGTTAAATGGTGCGGTTAAATGGTGCGGTTAAATGGTGCGGTTAAATGGTGCGGTTAAATGGTGCGGTTAAAACAGAGAGATTCCAGGCTGTCCAGTACAGTGCTCAATACCGAAAGACACAGCTACCGTACGCGCTCGAATACAAGCCCCCCTTCGAATAGAGCCCCCTCTCAAATAGAGCCCGTGTGTCAGAGGGAGTCAAAATAATAAATCCCTGTCCCGTATAAAAGCCCGGGCCCGGGGCTATAATAGAGCACGCACAGTCTCTACTTAACCCTTTCAGCCCTGACCGGAAAATCACCTCCCACTGGGCCAAAAATGGCAATTTTCGAAAATGCATATTCTGGTCCAAAATTGATTGGAGATGTTGGGTATGGACATATGCACAGTGAATCCAAAGAAATTTTGCAGGATTTCATTGTACGAGACTCGTAACACCATATTTAGATATGCGACTTTTGGCGATTTTTCCTCAAAATTCAATCAATTTAGGCAATTGACGACAAAGATCAGACAAGCAATGGCAAGCAGTGCTATAACTGGTCAGTGTTGACTTCAGAATGGAGAAATGTCATATAAACATGCTTGATATGATCCTGGTGTTCTACGGCAACCTAGACTAGAGTACAGCAACTCGTTTTATACGGCGCTTGCATTATATGCGACTTCGCGATCCAGAATGGGTCTTTCTTTTTCTTGGGCGCCTCGTAAAGCTTGAATCCTCCAGCAGCCCTACCTACTTCAAGACAAAACCATATGATGGACAGTGAGGATGCCGAGTAACTGGAGTAGCAACCACAGCAACTGCATCAGCTATAATAGCAGCCGGTGTAGTGGCAGCGGTTGGCTCACTGTGCTCGGCGCATCCCAGGGTGATTCATCTCTGGCCGCACGCGTACGCACGTACGCGGCACAGGTAAAGTCATATTGATGGAGAATGCAATACTGCTCATTCTCTGATTTAGACACTCACTGGCAAGACAATCCAGCTATGAAAATAGTCTGAATCATTCCCTAAACAGCCGAGTGCATACTGCGTACCGGTGTACGTACGCATGAAAATTCAAGAAACAATCGGCTGCGCAATTTCTGATAGTGGTTCAAAATTGCACAATTGTTGACTATTCTGGATTCATATTAGATAGCAATCACCATCCTGTAGGTGCCTGGCTCTGTACTCAACATACAATACTTACATGTATGCACATCTCTATTGTGATCTGCATGCATGTCTGACCAGTACACTTGACTTCAAATTCAAATATTTTCAAAAATCTGACCTTCAAATTTGATCGCAGTTTAGTTGAGGAACTTCAGCAAACGGGCTCACGACAGACAGCTCCTGCTTAGAACACCATGCCTAGGTGTTAGAGACTTCAGCATCGCTTTCCAAATCTCTTTGGTCTCCAGCATCCCCTGCGTCCGAGTCAGCTGCGATCTTTTGAATAGCAGCAAATTCGTAATCCTCAGAAAACGACTCCGACACAATTTCGCTGTCTCCAGAATCATCCTCAGAGTCATTACCCGCCTCACACTGCTTCACAGGACTCCTTCCATCGACACAGAGTAGTTGAGCTACTTACCTTGCCGAGAAACAGCAGGGCAAGATGACGAAAACGAACTTTGAGCAAAACAATTCATTTGAACGATATGCCAAAATAAGCACTTCAAACTCGATGCTCGCGGCTGTTCTGCAGTGCAGACTGGCCACATACGCCGCGTACACGTCGATCAGGGCCTTCAGCCCACTGAGGAACAGTTCCAGGCCCCACTGATGTTGAGGCATCAGTACAAACGCGACGTACACTGAGGACGTATATATACGTCGTCAGTGGGGCAGGTGCACACGTCATGACGTATATATACGTCGACAGTGGTGAAAGGGTTAAGCAGTGCATGATGAAACGTGTACGGTATGCACGTGCAACAGGGTGTACTTACTGCACACACACACTACAGGCAAGGGTACCTACCGTACAGCAAATCGAGTGCAGTCACTGTGTGTACTGATCAGCAGGAATAGGGTAAAACAATAATGTTTCCATTAAAAAAATAAAGCACCCTCTCGAAGAAAGCCCTCTCTCAAATATAGCCCCCCTCAATGTGTCTTCTGGAAAAAATAGAGCCCAGGGGCTTCTATTCGCGCCTGTACAGTAGTTCCAACACGAATAACAGGATGAAACAAGTGTTGTAACTCCGAGTTTCACGCACTAAGCGATCATCAGAAAACAGTTTTCTGATGATCGCTTAGTGCGTGAAACTCGGAGTTACAACACTTGTTTCATCCTGTTATTCTTGTTTGAATGGTGCAATTAGATTATGACTGTTACCGAGTGAAGAGACGAGGCACATTGAAGATGCGGGTATTTAAGAAATTATAGAACCGGTCGTTTTCTTGTTGGCAACAAATGCAGCATGCGCGCTGTTTCAAAATATTTTTCTGCACCCCTCCCCCTCCCCCCCCCCCCCCCCGAACCCACCATGTCCACATGTCACACTTTCACCCCGCCCTAATTAGCTATTCCGTTGACGCACACCATTCCTTGGTCAGCATTAGTATTACAAGCAAGTCTGCAGTGAGCAGCGGGCTGGACAAGTTCACCGCTATTAAAAAGCGAGAAAAAACAATGATCTGCCTGGCATGCTTGCACATGCCCAGCTAGATTTGCAGGAAAGATGTTCTCATCCCATTCACATTCAAACCATCTTGTCAAAGAACCTGTTTAATAAAAGTGCACCGCAAGTAAATCAGTAATTAGAACCAAGCGGAACCTTCTGGTTTAAAGCTCAGCGCTCGATGTCAGCTTGGCTGGAAATTGATGCATGCTGAGTGGAGTGCTGGTGGGGTTGCACTTTTCTTGCTTCTAAAAACACCATATCGATGTAGTGCATACACTCTACCACCAGATCATACCAGTGGAATGATCAGCAGGTACAATTCTGCAGCTTAACAATTAATGTTGTGTACCCCTGTATGTAGTCAACCAACGGCCAATGACCCCAGTGGAGTGAAGGTGAGCTACAAGCCAAGCTGGGCAAACTATGGAAATGACTCCAACGGCGAATGCGGTGTGCCCACGGCAGAGCGATTCCACATGTAAGCAGTTCAGAATACTGTGTTTTTCTTGAGACCGTGTGTGTTACACCCATGTCATGCGCTAAGCTAGCTGTATTTAATATCTTTAGCATGAAGGTATTCTTGTTTGTTGTGATACAATAAAAACTATGATAGGAACAAAGTGAACAAAGTCGTGTTGTGTATTAGTTCATTATATTTCCGAACATTGCATTCCTTCAATCATTGTGTTATTTTTCCGGACCTATTTTGTCATGGATGCAGTGAATGGGATTTCGGTCTTTGACCACATGCTGGTGAGCTGATCTACTCACCTCCCACCGCTTTAGGAGCTGCATCTGCGCCTTGATCCTTGAACGGTGGTGGCGTTCCTACGGATGCGGAAAACTCGGCCTCTATATAGAAACCGAGTCTCACGCGAACCGTGAATTTGTTTGGAAAATTATTTCAGAATTGGATGACTTTACAATAGTAGTAAAGGCCGTTGTTCCCGTGTTTATATCTATGTTCTCCAGGCCCCAGTCTCCAGGAAGCAATGGTGTGTTCTGGTACAGTGTAGATGTAGCTAATGTACACTTTGTCATGATCAGCACTGAACATGACCTCAGCCCTGGATCTGTGCAGTACAACTGGTTGAAATCTGATCTCGGAGCCATCAACCGGGCTACCCAACCATGGGTCGTTGTTGCTGGTCATCGACCACTCTACAACAATGAGAAACGTCAGCAAGATGATGATCTGTAAGTTAGTACTTGAACATGGCTAAGCTAAGGTGTATAAATACTAGGCTACAGCAAGTCCGGCTTTCACAACTCGGAAATCATACCCGTGCGCTTGCTTGCATACCGGCATCTCCGATTTCTCCGCGTCGACCTTCCCCTAAAGTGACATGTACGGGACGATATTAGAATGCTTTAGTGCTGGGGAGTAGAGCTATCAGCCTTGCTAGTATGGCTATGTGTTATGATTGTGTTGATCTACACCCAGTACGACTACTAGTATGTGTAGCTATAGGTGCACCATGCGTAGGGAAACCACCCTGGAGCTTCAACTGAGTCTGGGCAGTGGCAAAGGACTGCTCGACAATGTCACTGGGATTTGTGTTGTCGTTGCCGAAAGAACTAGCACTTAGGGACCATCGCAAAAGTTCGCAGAAGCCCCCGAAACGAAGACCGTGAGTTTCGGGCCTGACCCCCCTCCCTCCCCCCTCAAACGAAACGACATTCACAATATGGGCTTCATTATTTCACTTGGATGCTGCACACATAATAATTATTATAATAATTATACTACACAGCAGGGGTTCATAAACCCTATCATATCATTGGCCTATGAACCCCTGCTACTACTAGTACTAGTACTAGTACTAGCAAGAGTCCATGAACCACGCGTTTTATGGACTCTTGGTACTAGACTACACACAGTGTACAGGCAGCCAGCTACGCGACACGCGCATGACTACGCGTCCTGACAAGCGATCTACGCCGGCTGTGATGGCATGCTAATCTATATCAGCTCCTACATGTCGTCAATACTTTTTTGAATTGAAGCCCGGTTTGCGATTTTCGACACGACTCCCTCCCCCCCAAACGTATGCTCTTCGTTTCAGGGGCTTCTGCGAACTTTTGCGATGGTCCCTTACTTTAGGCAAGCAAGATTTCGGTTACAGAGATATGGAACAAAACATAAAATCCGTCAAAGAAGATCACAGGGTGTGAACCCCCGGTGGGTAGATGCCACTCGCGGCAGATATCCCGTAACTGCTTGTGACGAGCAAACGCCAACAGTCCTAGATCCATATCCCAACTGCAGCCTCCACAAACGCGAGAAAGTGGGAGAAATAGAAGTAAATACTCAAAAATGCCAGCTATGACAGAGGTAACACAACACTGATACACAGTGACTCGACCACTTCTGACACCATGTGAAAACGACAAACCAACAACTCACTCTCTTTCGGCTAACCTACAACTAACACTGAAGGGCTGTCAGCCTTGTTTTTTTCTCAGAGTCGATATGTGACACTATAGTGTAGTACAGTATATGAGTATTTAGAAAGGTGGTTCTGATACGGGAATTGTACTCAGCATGCATATTCGACCAGTCAGCACTGCCATCACTGGCAGGAGAAGTTGGACCAAGCGCTTGAGCATGTCGCGGGCCGAGTTCCAGCACATGGGGACATCCCGCGTCACCTTCACTTACTTCCCATTTGCACTTGCTTAGCCAGTAATGCTTCTGTGGCCGGGGTACTATGGCTAAACTGGCCACCATCTGCTTCTCTCGGCATGGACAAGAGCTTCTGGACTGGAGCAGATCCATCCAGTGCATGGAGGACACATGTCTGCAGCAGATGAGCCGCACAAGTGACAGATTCACTTGCTCATCCAGTAGCAGTCGGCCAGCTAGCTCGGCATTTCTGGCTTTGTCGTGCACCACGGCCACCACAGCATGAGGGGAAAGTTTCACTCCCTGGGTTGCATTGACAACTTTCTCTGCCACACGCTTGCGCTTGTGTGAACCTGGTAACAAGCTGGTTTCTATTACAGCACTCTCAAGCTCCCAGTTGTCCGTAATGAAGTGAATGGTTACGGTGCCATAGCTCTGAGTAGCCCTGGACGTACACACATCCGTTGTTAAACAGCATCTACCAATGGACTTCAGTCAATCTGAGAGTGCCTTCACTCCCCCTACATGTCGCTCTGGCATGAGTTTAGCGAAATGCTTCCACGACGGAACAAGGAATCCCGGTGTTACCTGATCCATCAGAGCACTGAAGCCCTGGTCCGTTACAACACTCAGAGGTGGAAGATCGTGTATGATAGAGACGTCTTTGCAATACGATGATCGGGTACTTTTTGTATTGCAAAGAAGTTTCTATCAATTCGAAAAACACGCTTGATCACCTAGGTAAAAGCATAACGAGGGCACTGAGCTTTCAAGATTTCTTGTTAGATTTATTGGTAGGAGTGAAACGAATAGGGTTATTTAAAGCCCAGTCCTCAGTTATTTCCGACGGGTCCACAGTACGGGTGCATAGTAAGCTTCAGTGTATGCTGTACAGAACTATGGTGGCAATTCTCAGTGATCCCAGTCTGCTCTGCATGGTTAGATCTATGTGCTAACTCAATGTAATGGTATTATGCTCCTGCCTGTCATGTGCAGGCCAGTGCAACGCAAGCTGAGAGAGTTTCTGAATCCGGTCTTTGCAGAGTTTTCTGTTAACCTCTACGTGTGTGGTCATTACCACAACTGTGAGTACAAGCATGAATATAACATAGCCTAGCAAAACTACAGAAAAACCTGGTGTAAGCGACCTCTGGGTTTAGCGACCACCTGCTCTTAACGACCGTTTTTCCATGCACCGACAGTTCTACACAGACACTGTGGGACCTGGTTCTAAAGACCACCAGGCTTTAACGACCGCTTTTGCTTGCACCGTGGGGTGGTCGCTTACACCAGGTTTACCTGTACGTGATTATCCAAGGCTCTTAACTGTTACAACATATACTTGACCTTGTGCAATGAAGAGAAACTGGGGTTTGCATGTCTGGTATTGGTTTTACAGATTTTACAGATCACAGCGTTCATAAGGGCGCGTTCAGACTACCGATAAAAAGTGACCGATTGAGAAAGTCGCCAAGGTGATTTGATCACGTGACGTTACTGGCACGTTACCGGTGGGAAAGTTTTACTGCCGCGGCTGCTGCGGCAGTAAACTTTTACTGGCAGTAAAAAAGTGCTCAGGCTGCATGCGCGCTGCGAAAAAAAGGGAAAATCCCTTGTCAGTGCCGCGGCCGCGGTGAGAGCTGAAAACTTCACGGTAACGTTAGTTTGTTATCGGTAGTGTGAATGTCCTTCACGGTTTATCGGCATTCACGGTTTGACGGGGTTCACGGTAGTCTGAACGCGCCCTTATAGTATAGTGAACTGAGGTTTACTGTACGAATGTTTTCATGGTAGCCAATACAGCATCTTTCTTGAAGAACACAAGGGAAGTGTGTGTGTGTGTGTGTGTGTGTGTGTGTGTGTGTGTGTGTGTGTGTGTGTGTGTGTGTGTGTGTGCACCACATACCACCACCGCATACAGTGATTTCCAATCGATAGATTGCGGGTTCGATTCCCGACGATTATGGTCACACACGTCTTTCTTCTCTTTCTCAGACTCTTCCTGACTTTTCTTTCATTCTCCTGGGTGGTTACCAACAGCCAGTGCATGCCGGAGTATGTGGTGTCATGTGTGTGCGGGAAAAAAAAAAAAAAAAAAAATGAAAAATGAAAAAGACCAAAAAAGGGATTCACTGGCCAGAAAATGTCACTCCAAATAGCTGTATGGTGTAGACCAGGCTGAATAGTGACGGTCAATTCTTCAGCCTTGCAAGCTGTTGAATGGTGTAATCCCAGCACAAGTTGCTATGGCTTCTGCCGTAGCATTGCTATCATCGCCTCCGGCGATGGGCGTCAAAGGTCAAGGTCAAAGGTGTGTGTGTGTGTGTGTGTGTGTGTGTGTGTGTTATGCCATTTAACTTGCCCACTTCTCCTGTATATCAGTGTAGCAACACCTGAAAGGGACATTATTGAGCACAAATATAGTTGAGCAGCAATAATGTATTTCATTCCACCCATAGTTGCTAACTTATCATGTATCAACCACCCAACATTTCGAACTGAGATGTTGCGAGTTGGTGCTTCTCTTGTGCTCGAGACGGAAGCCGTGAGTCAGTCGAGTGTCATTCCGTCGGCAGAAAATGCAAGCTCCAGCATTGGAGCATCGTGAACACATATTGTGTGGTGTAAGGTGTGAGCAGGCCAAAATGAGATAATGTGATTCGAAACAACTGGTGGCTGGTGACCATGACGACGAGCAAATTGCAGATGATGGTGCTATGGAACTGGAGAGCTGCTTGGCATACTGCTGGGTGATAATGGAGCTGGAATTTGCACTTCCTGACAACTGAATGAATGACTCACGGCTAGGGAGCTGATTGGCACACTGGGTCAGATCAGAGTGAGACACATCACAGTCGCTGTTTGTTGGCGAAAATAATGCTGCCAGGAAAATCATGATCAAAGCCAGATGAGAGAATTTCTTTCTCATGTTATTCAGTGGGTTTAAAAATGCCCGAGTCCTTACACAGCGTATGCAACACCAATGTGTCTGATTTCGATGCAGATGTTCGCACCGCACCAATATCAAGCAATGGCAGTGTGGTGTCTACAGGCACAGTACACATCACTGCCGGCACTGGTGGCGCTGATCTTGGCACTGGCGAGGTGGGTGAATCAGGAGATTGGGCCTCGCCGCAGCACATTCTCGTGATTGTATTCCTCATCCCGAGTTTTCTTTCCTTTTCTGTTGTCCTCGTCTCTTGTCTTTCTGCTCGTCTCTTGTCTTTCTGCACGTCTCTTGTTTTCCCTGTTAGCTCATCTCTCATTTTATTCCATCAGTTTATGTCATTTAGCTTCCAAAGGCTAGTAGAGTCCTATCAAGAGAATCTCACAAGTCACATACACTATACACTGCATACACTATACACTACATACACTATACACTACATACACTATACACTACATACACTATACACTGCATACACTATACACTGCATACACTATACACTACATACACTATACATGTAGATGAGTCATATACACTAAACGTGTACGTAAATGTAAGGTGAAAAGAAGAGAATGTTGGTAAGAGATGCGGATTAGATATGGAACTCAGGAATGCATGAATATTGTGTTTGTTAGTCAGTATCTATTAGCCAGCTGTTAATGATTCACGATGTCTTATAGGCCAAATAGTCGTTTACCAACAATAGAATGCACATACTCTGTGACTAATTCGAGCAGATCTTGAGAGAAAAAAACTCTCTTACACGGAGAAGTGCATAACTATCCGGGCAGCTTTTCCATTGTGTTGCTAGACAGAATATTCTTACTCACTTAATCCATCCATCTCTCTCTCTATCTCTATCCGAGTCTCTCTCTCTCTCTCTCTCTCTCTCTCTCTCTCTCTCCCTCTCTCTCTCTATCTATCTATCAATCTATCTATCTCTCTCACTCTCTCACTCTCAACATCTAGAGTGGAGAAATATTGACTCCATTCACTTAACACAGCACACTTTATTTTTCAACCCTTAATGGCCTTATCAATCGCACTGTGTATTGTGGCTGAGACTCAGAGTGATATGACTGATAATGATGGCACAAACATGTACATGCAAAGAGATGAACTGCCTCTTGGCTCTTCTGCATACATTGTCAATGACTCCACTGTTCCGGTGTAGACATCCACACAGATATATGGAGTTTCTATGATTCTTATGTCTTTACTAACAGATTCATGCTCTTGAATGTTTGTATTATCTCTGTCATCTCAGTATCATCCAGTTCCCTGGGCTGTCAAAAACTTGACAACATTTGGAGTGATTTCTATTGAAACAAGCGGACCACAGACAATGGCAGTGGAGTTTGTTAGCACAACTGGATCAGTACTGGACTCTGTTACGATCAAGCAGAACCAAATGGTCATGAGCGTCTACCAGGCAACTCAAGATCGCATCAACACCAACACCAACCAGCCGTCAAATGTCACCAATAACATGAATACCATGAACAACACGAAGCACTTGAACACCTCGCCAGCGGGCGGTGTCCTTTACGCGAGTAGTGTCTGCACTGTGATCAACGTGCTCAGCCTGGTATACGTATTCATGGGTTGAAGCCGGGTCAGCTTGAAGTCTGATCAACGCCGCTGTATTTGTGTTCATGAAAAATTGCACGCCACATCAGGTGGAACTATCTCTGCTCTGAAGTAACGTGAGTTCCATGCAACAAGAGGACTCGCCAGGAAACTCACTCTTTACACGTACAGAAAGAGGGAGAGACCTGGGAAGTTCTGCAACTCCCTCATCATTTGAGATACTATCTATGGAGTAGGGAAACTGAGAATCCACAAGCACTGGGATTCCACTCAATAACTTATTTTAAAAGCATAATAATATCATAAAATTATGTTAACACGTCATTCTCAGAATTTTAATATCAAAATTCTGAGTTTTTTTATTCACGGCTTGAGGGAAAGACTCAATGTTTTGAGGTACTTTACTTTTGTAATTTTGTACTTTTCATGACCTGGGTTCCCAGTTCCCGTCTACATCTAATTTCCAGGGCAGAAACCATGTTTTTAAGTCGCGCACTAACGTCGCACGCGCTTATTATCACGATCGCGTGTACTTTTGTACATGCATGATTGTGTTGCTATGTGAGAATTGTGCAATTGTGTACAGTACGTGTGTATATGTAGGTTTGATCTACATGTAGCTAGGGGGAGACCATGGGATGCAGCTTTAGTTGGTTCCACCTGATTTTGAATCAAGTATTATCAAAAGCGATTGCAAATGCGCCGGATGCGATGTGCCTGTAGGTGTGTGGTTGTAGAGGCATAGTGTTGCAAAGTGGTAGTTGATCAGATGCAACATCATACAAGTCTGAGTTTGAAATGTAACGGTCTGTCTGAAAATGTTATTCGAAGGATTTGGTGATATGTAAAAAGAAAAGGACCTATAAGTTACTAGCTATGACTAACAGTCCACCAAGGTAACGAGATCCTATACAGTCAGATAGTGCAACAACAAGGCACACAACTGACAAGGACATTCAGACATTCGACGACCTGACACCTAGCCACCAATAAATCGACGAAGCACAAGCCAACAACCTTCCAACTTGGAAGGCTCAGGTGCGGAAAGTTCCAATGAGGTCAAGGGATTTTTTGTGCCTTGTTGTCGCACTACCTGACTCAGGTATATTATCTCGTTACCTTGGTGGACTGTTAGTCATAACTAGTAACTTGTAGGTCCTTTTCTCTTTACATAATTATTACTATTGGCTCAACATCCGAGTTTTTAGGATTCGGTGATGCAGCACTTCTAATTATTTATCAAATCTGGTTTTGTTAAAGGTGGGTCAAGCAGGGAAGCCATCCGTGAAGAGGGAAAGAATTTACTTCAGTTTTATTTGTGAAAATTAATGCGACAGCTATTGGTAAAATGGGCGAAATGGCTTGTCATTATATCAACAGATCGGCATACTCGGGAAGATACATGATCAGCATGGTAAAATTAGATAGGGAGGGATCAAATACAATGTACCAAGGTGCTTATGATCAGACGCTACAGCCTGAGAGTGAGCAACCGGGATTATCAGGAAAGTGGAAGATGGGAACCGTATCAGTGGGAGGAGGAAAAAAGAGACTTCGAGTAGCTCCGTTTTGTCCACATCTGGTCTAAGATACCATGTCTTCATTCATTTGATGATATCAGTAACGATATCAGTGAAGAAGCAATTCCACCTCCAGTACATGTACATGCCTCTCAGGCCGACAGCTGCTGCTTACGCTTTGGATATCATTAAATTTGATGCAAATATGGACGATGGGGTGCAGGGTGTTAAAACTTTTAAAAACGTGCGTGCATCCATAACCATAGAGACAGGACCATAACAAGATGGAGCAACGGATGGTATGGACAAAACACGGAATACTGTATCACCAGTCTACAATATCCATAGGAACAAACCTTAGAGATGATGGGGACTTGTGAAGAGGACACCGTTAGTGAAAACGAGAACAGGAAGCAAACAATCCCAGACAAAACGAAGACCCATTGATGACAAGTTCTCTTTGCCATACAACAAGACTTAGTACAGTACATGACTGGTTATTTCTGAAGCATACAACTAGAGGCATACAGATACTCCAAGCTTCAAGCGAATCATGACATGATAATGCAAATACATGTACATAAATGTACTGTACCTGACCAGAAGGATACCAGTAAAACAGAATCAAGCAAAACTGAACGGAACACAATAACGTCCCAAAGAAGTTTGAACGTCACAAAATAGCCGTGTTCACTAATAAGTGATAGCACGGATTGCTTATCAATGCGAATGATGCCTCGATGGAACAACTGAAAACAGCGTAACTACAAGACTTACTAGTCATGTAAAGCCCACCTACAAAAATGCACAGGGTCTCTGTGATAATAATGTGCGGATTATTGATAGGAGTGACTCAGTCCAGGTTGCCCAATGGGCCATGGCGGTGCGATTATGGACGATGAGGGTTGTCGACAACGCGTTCACAATGCAATGGTGCTCTATGATCCGATCATCTACAGCATGATTGTGTACTTCTTGAAGTAGTCACACGCTCAACCGAGGACAATAATACGAACTGAGGTGTTGCGCCTTGGCGATACATGCAACTGTAGGAGTTGCGACAGTTTGAGCAGCACTATAGTGAATAACACTGAATACGCTGTTTTTGTCTTCTTCTGTCGTGGCCATGGAAATCCGGTCGCACGTCTAGCGGCCCCGGGGTGCTGGCCATATCCATGCAGCCATGGCATGCATTATTACGCTCTGCTGCTGGTCGCGTCGTATCAACATGTGGGGCTGCATGCAACGACTCATCTTCTGTAGATCTACGCGCTGAGGGCGCCGGCCCCGGTCAATCGACTGGATTTCCATGTCCGCGACAGTACATTTGCGGTCCTGTTCATGTAGATCCGTGGATCTATCCGCCTGTAAAAAAAAGTACATCCACGTTTGTGTGAGTTGACCGTCGATGATAGTTTCATGTGCATGTTGCATGTATGTCGTCGCAGCTGAATCCATTTTTGCTATAATATTGTTAGGTGGTATTATCTGATTATCGGACGAGGTAGAGTGGCACAGAGACAGTCTGTAAAGCGTAGCCCCCACCCCATCACACCCACTGTGACCCACCCTCCTCTGACCTGCCAGATTTCACATTATGACTGCTGCAGTGCTGAACATGCATTTTTGCACAGCGTTATTTAGAAGCACAGGAACGAAAGCCTTTCGAAGCAGTTTCGTACCTTCTCACCGGCCGACACTGGCGACAGCTGCCAGAATGCACCGCGATCCTCCTCGTGACAAGCACTGACAGAAGTAACACAATGTGGGGTGCCAGTCACCGGGTTGTTGACGACGTGTTTGTAGCACTGGAAACGGAGCGTGTCGTGTCGGGACACCCAGCGTATCGGGACACCCAGATGATGTTAGGCCTTAGGCCAAGTCAGGGCCTGGAGACTAGTGCCGTTACCAGGATGTCGTGTTCTTTGAGAGCAAACACTGCATCACTCTAGTCTAGTTCAGCTCAATTATAATAATATTATTTATTTGTTGCCATTATTGACTGAATTCCCCGAAGCACTGTGCGTGTTTGTGTTTCGTAGCAGTGGTTCTTTGACCGCAGGCCAGATTCCATAGCTGTATCACTAGATTTAGCTGTTGGATTTACATTGTACTTCTCTTGTGTCCAGCCTGTACAGGCCAAGGACTTGAAATCATCAGTGCAGGGGAGGTATCAAGGATAGTTTTGTATCGCATGTTGAGAGGGGGATCATGTACAGCTTAGGTTGAGTGAGAACATCTTCTCCGCAGATGGATACACCTGTACACGCAAGGCAACGGCATCCGGAGGGAACGCTAGCTAGCTAGCTAAGGAGTCGTTACCAACATGTGGCTTTGCTGTGTGAGTGCTGGTATACATGTATGTGTGCTATTGCTATGTCAGTTTGTACTGTGCAATCCATGATTTTATTCAAAGCCCCACATAAGTGAATAAAAGCTAGAGAGAAAAAGGGAACCCCCCCCCCCCCCCCAAGGAGGAGTAAAGGAGTACAGGTGGAAAAGGAAAGATAAGAACATTGAAAGGATCGGTCACGCAATACGGTTAATTCCCATCGTGGATAGGATAATTATTCAATTGCCATTCCCACTGTTAAGGGAAGTAATTATGAAAATAATATTTACCAAGCATGCCTGAAAAGACGCAGAACACACTATTATTGATGCAGCCAGCCTACAAATCATACAAGCGGCATTGATCGAGAAATGATGAGCGTGCTCGGCGGCGCAAATGGATGCCAAGCATCCACGGAAACACGTTACAAACCATTTCAATAGCAAGAAAGACATACAGCACCTCAACCTTGCCATAACATTTGAACTTTTTGAATAATGCAAATAACAAATCAGAATGCTTCTTGATAATTAGGCCAGCCAAATTCTATACTGCACGTGAACACTCCTGGCTGCACATGCCATTGGTGGCAAAAACCAAGCGCGTGAATGTACCTCTCTCAACAAGTATCACCCTCTGCAGGTAGGCTCTCTTCTTCTGTAGTTCATTCCTGGTTAACTGAGCAAGAACCTATGCTTTCGACAGCAAGGACGCTGAGGGATGAGTCACCCTAACAAAGAATGCGTCTTGCTGCCGAGACCAGAAGACCCTTGCATAGATATACAGATGAGTCTCCAGACGCCGGTTGTTTCCTAAAGATTCCATAATTTTTTGCAACTTATGCTTTTCGCAACCGTGCCAAAACAAGTGCTAGTTGCTGAAATCGCATCCATATTTTCAGAAAATGCTCAAATGTTGCTAATATATAATATCGCAACTTAAAATTGGAGAGTTCTAGTGCAAAACCACCAAAAGTGCCGGTAGCCAGTTGCATGTATCCTATATCATTCCAGTGCATGGAAAGGGGAATGCACATTATCGTAACTACCGTTGATCTCCTGTTTATCTGAAATGAGTCTGAAGTGAAGGCAGGCGAGAAATGAGCGAGCATGCATTTGTCCGACATGTAGTCCGTGACTTGATCTTTTCACCCCATGCTATGGGGCCAAGGTTGCAGAAAAGCAAGTTGCGAAAACGTTCCGAAAATGAAGAAGGTTGCGAAAGTTGCAAAAGTTGCGATTTCTTCCTAAACAAGGAAAAATTGCGAAAAAAGTGGTGAGCATCTCTGGGAAAGGGCTAACCAGGGAGCGCTTCACCCTCGAGTGGCAGCAGAGGAGGCTCAATTAGCACATTAGGGATGGCCGCATCCATAGCCTCGGCAATCAGGTCATGCAAAGCATTATGCCGGAGAGTGGGGTACCCCCTCCCCCCCCCCCCCCCCCAGTAGGGTACGTTGCTGTATGATCGACGCTGAGGTCTGCACCACATGCGCACGAACTCGGAATGTCCCACAACGGACAGCCATATCGTATTGACAATGCATCGACAAACTCCACTTTGTTTAGGACGCCACCAAGGTTGCCGTCTCCAGTACGGTTCAAGCGACACTACCGGCCACAGTGATCGTCAAAGGAAACCTGTCTGACTTCGGCTCTACGGGCGCACCGAGTAAGTGGTAGTTTTCGTTGTTGTTCTCGCTGTCGCCTTTGTTGACAC